GTGGGCATTTATAACCGGAAGTAATAATTTGTTTACCAATAAGTTGATTGGCCTATAACTGGGGGGTGGGAGCTTATAAATGAAGGGCTTATAAGCTGCTGTTTGATATAGCTAAATGCAAGTTAGGCTGACTTTGACTCAAACCAATGCTGGTCATTGCTCTTTCAAGGCGACCATGCCCTATTGGGTTTCATATATTGAGTTTTGTAGGGCTTAGATGTTTTACTTACTGGCTGTGTAAGAACATACAGTTTGCTTTGAGTGTCATTCCTGCTTGCAATATGCTTTTGCTCCCTCACCTCCCTCCCTTTAGCTGGATACCTGCGTGTTCTGCTTGAGGCTCATATCTCGCTCAGCTCCACCACTCTGTAGGCATCTTTCCCAAGCTTGTCACTTAGCGATGAATTTACATGTAACTGTATTTTACTCAGTCAGTGTTACACTACACTTCATCATAATTCAGATTGCCCATCCTCGAGTTCAGTTCAAGCTGCTGGATCTTATCTATCACGGATTTCTTGTGTCAGTTATGGCATCATCACTAAGTCAGGTAGGTAATGTGCAGATCTCTGGTTCAGTCATTTTTATTTTTGGAAATCAGAAAATGAAAAAGAAAAACATTTGCAGTTCAGTTTTGGTTTTTCATTGCTGAAAAAGAAAATGTCAATTTGTTTTTCATTCTTCGGGAAATGTTGCCAAAAAAGCAATGGAACACAGAAATAAGCATTAGTTGAACACCCAACTAGTAACCTGGAGGTCATGGGTTTGACTCTTGTTGGTGGCTCAAGTCTTTCTCTTTCCTATGCTCTTGACATACATACATGTATGAACATTTTTTTGTCATTAATTTTATTCAATCGCTGAGCTTAAAATATATACCATCTTTCATTATCTATCAGAATGTGACTTTATTTTTCTTCTGTGCAGAGCTCCACTGAAGCCTTAATTGCTGCCACGTCCTACCTGGATCTTTTCCTACGCAGCATTACTGATGCTAACTTGATGAAAGTGTTTCTGGAGTTCATTATGGTGGAGCGATCAGATGGCACTCCCATTCTGGACTTGCTTGTGTCAAGAATCTCACATGAATCACAGGTAAGTAGTCTGGGAAACGGTGTGGTTCAAATTGTTAATGTTTTGATTCAAAGGTTGTGAATGAAGTATGGGTTATTAACCAAGTGTGAGGTAAAGATGGCTGGATATTGGCCAAGTTCTTTTTCTGTGTGTTTAAAGACAGAAGTGAGGTCCATAAACTTGCAAAAAAACAGAATGAGGCCAATATCTAGCCATCTTGACAGAACAAGCTTGGTCAATAAAAGATTTATTATATGACTTTCTTGCGGGGCACAGCAGGTAGTCTGGAGTAGGCAAGATAGCACCATCTTTCCTGCTTGGGTAGCGTATTGCAACAAAGCATTTGGTTCATCTTGCCTGCTCATGGAGCTACCCATATAATAATGCTACGTACTAGGACAAGTCTGGGGCAGATGTTGGTCAGGGACTCAGGTTGGGTAACCCCAGGCTCCTATTCTTGAGTTGTTTCTTACAAGATGAGTTCAAATATGGGAACTGCTTTTACTGAGAATCTTTTCTTTTGCCACCCTAAAATTGTTGTCTGTTGTTGATTTTTAAAGAAACTGTTATGCTGTGTTGAGAGACACTTGTTGTACCACTTGCTGTGTAAGTTGTAGTACATTTAAGGCTGGTTTTCACTAGCAATGGAGCTGGAGTCGGAGTTGTGAGAGCACTTATGACCTAGTGAAAATCAAAAATCAAAGTTGTAAGCTGAGTTACAAGGTTGATGAAATCAGAGTCAAAAAACAAGAATGTTTCCATTTTCTTCTGCCACTCTGTCACTTGTGATCCAATGAAAACTAGATTGTCAGAGTTGGAAGCAGACGTGGAATAACCAACCAATCACAATGCTATAAATTTCCAATGCTAACTCCAACAATTTAGAGCAGAATTCATGTTCTTAGCATGCATTTTTCATGGAGTATGCACCAAAGAGAAGGTTAATCGCATGCCAAAAGGTGAAGCTCCTGGAAGGAATGGGGGTGGGTATGCCACTCTCAGGAAACTTATATTCTAAGGGCCTCAGAAATATCATTCCCCATGTTTTCCAGAGAATAGTCTTATAAATCAAAAGATGGAAATCGTTGAGTATTTAGTAAATCACGTTGTTTAGATGTGAACCTTAATGATGACAATTGATTATTGATAGCAGATTTAACAGGATAGACTGGAGACTGACAAACAAGCCAATTCAATAATTAAAGATACTTTTTGCCCATAAACTTTTGATCAAAATAAATTTGGTAAACCAAAGACATGCAAAAATTAACTAAAGGTTTATTGCCCGATGTTCGGTGTCGTCAAGAAATATTTTATTCCAGAGGTGTGCATGTACACGTGTATGCGCTTACATTGTCGCTATACCCCTGGAATCGGTATCCTGATTCTGACTCCATTGCTGTTGATGTTCACTAGATCACATCGCTCTGTGCTTTTTGTTAGTTCCCAATGCATCGCTAGTGAAAACCAGCCCTTATTATGTTTGATCTTATGACGTCTCCTTTTTGTATTGCTGTTTTAGCTTGCTGTTGTGTCACTGGGTTTGTTTTACACTCTTCTGGATCTGAATTGTGAGGACATCTTGTATAGCTTGGTGCTCAAGTGAGTTATTTACAGGACTAGGAAATGTAACATGCCATTTTATTGAAATCTTATTATCACACTTTTCCTGAGTAACAAAAAAGCAATTGCAGCACATGTCAAATGCCTTCCCTTTTTAACCTCAACCATTAAACTTGTCTCAAATTAATTTTAATATTGACAATTGTACCTTTTGTTCTCCATCACCAAATTCGTCCGAATGAAAAATATTTCGTTCTAAATAAGGCTAAAACGAAAAACAAAAGTTGAAAAAGAGAAACAAAGCAAAGCAAGTTATAGTTCGTAGTTAGGAAGTGTAAGAAACTGGTGTTCAAGGAATACACAGAAAATAGCAAACATGCAAAATTCCGTCCTCAAACGAAAGAAAGTTCATTTGTTTATGGGCCAACTACTCCCTAGGAGAGGGGCAAGTGGCTGTAAAATTTGGCAAATTCTTAAAGTGATTTTGATAGAGAGAGTTATAAATGAACAATCTTTAACAAAAGTGTTGACTGCACAAGTGCAATACCATGACTTTTTCTTGTATCTGAATTAACTAGAGTGTATAGAATGTCTAGCTTTCTTTCCTTGACCCCATGCCATCAATCAAATCCACAGATACCTCCTTCCTTGTAATCATATTCTAAGCAGCCAGAAGAGAACTATCAAGGAGGTGGATCTTTACAGCAAAAGCGCTTTCAAATTTCTGTCGCTTATTCCCGCTTGCTGCTCCAGTGAATCCTCTTCGCTTTCCTCTTCCACCGAGAATTTAAACGCTAGCGCCAACACCCCAATGAAGATTGACCTGCAGACATCCAGCGAGTTGGTGTTTTATCGGTCACCGCTCCTGAGCGATCTTTATGCCGACGTCTGTGCGGATTACATGGAGTACCTCGCGGACGCGCGTGGCTTATTAAAAGCTTGCCAGATGAAGTGCACGTGTTGGTCCGCTCCCTACGACGGACAAAACCCAGTCCCACCGGACCCCTCCTCGGTAGAACGTGAACGGTCGCTCTCCAACTTGTCAGCACCCGTTACCAATGGCGACATCCCCAACCGGAGATCCCTTGGGCCAGAGGATGGTCGCGCTCCGGTAAAGCGATCCAAATCAGCGACGGAGTATGAACAGAAGCAGAGTAAACCTGATTTAGGACCGTTTTTAGTGACGCTGTTTCAAAAAATCGAGCGAATGCCGCAGAACTCTTTTTATGTGAACTTGATTCTGACCGGGGTAGTGTCGAGGCTGGCGTTGTATCCTCAACCGCTTCTACGTTCCTTCCTTCTCAATTATAACATGGTTCTTAAGCCAGGAGTACGCTCGTTGTTTCAGGTAAGTAACCTGTGTCTCAGTTGTTTGTTTTGATTGAAATGTTTCCTGTTGGTGTTTCACATTCTTCTCTATGTTGTTACGCTTACTGAGAAAAGAAACCTGAAAGTTGTTGTTTTTTTTCTAAAAACGAACTGTCCCATTGAGGTTGATTTTATCATTTTTTTTTGCTTAGGATTACATTCTTATGAACTTAAGGTAATTCCTCTGAAATAAAAGTGACAATAGATTTTTGTTCAAACTTTGT